CACCCGCATTTCTTCTAAAGGGAGATTCAGAGAGAAAATCCGCGATGAACTAACTACCCCGTCCCTCATTGTGTCGTTCGTGGCACGGAGTAAAGGAACAGGGATGCTCGCGGGGGCCTGTTGTGGAGGGAGAAAGCGAAGGGCTCTGTCGCTTGGAGCCAGTCGTTTTTCAGGTGTCGTGACTACAAGGCAGAAATCCGAGTCGGGTCCAAAGGGAGGGAAGAAGGAAGGGATGCAGGGAGGGTCACTCCACTGAGGCTTTCCCACGGTCGCTCCACCATCTCCTTAACACCAGGATACCAAAACACCCGTGGCGAGGTAAGAAACCGTGTCAGTTACTGGTTCCTGGGAACCATTATAACTGCGGGGTCGCGAAGGTGGAGAAACCGCTCCTCCCAGCTGGGCATGAGAAGTGTTTCATTTGTAAGGCTGAAGCCTGGTGATCTGCCTGCCAAGAATTTCCTTGGACATGTATTTTTATGTGCAATTAAAAAAAAAATCCCCAGAATTGACATAATCAGAATTACAGATGTATTAAAACTACGTGGGCATACCAAGCACAGGATGCACACACAGCCTCTTAATGTCATTTGTACTACACATATACGTGTGTGTATTTCCTCTTTCCAGAAGGCCGCTTTCGACCTTCTGCAAACAAAGGCTATCTCTCTGGTCATGCTTTCAGCTGCACTGGTGAACAGTTCGCCTGTTCCCTCCAGTGTTTTGAATTTTGCTAGGCAGTATCAGTTCAGTGAGTCCAAGGAAAGCAAAGAAGAGATGAAATCATGACAGTCAGAAGAGATAAGTCGTACTAACCCCCAAAATAAATGAGAAGAATTAGACGGGAAATGTGCCTTTTGAATCAGGATCACAAATCATTTAAATGATTAATTACCTCCCCTTCCTTTCTTTTTCTTTTCTCTCTTTGCATGTGTTTTAATCTGACATTCATGCAGTGACTAAAACTTACTTAGGCCTCTGTCTGCCAATCGAGAGCTGATTCTGTTTTCACAGTTGCTTTAAATTTTGCATTTTCATCATAAAAACATCACTGAATGGGAGTTTGCAAGAGTAAAAACCAGGGCACCTGACTCTAGTTGTCTCTTCCTGCAAGATTTACAAGGCAAACACAGATTTTTTGTCTTTTTTTAATTTTTTTTTTTAACCATTTCCAGTTACAGGAAAAAATGTAAAGATGTCTTGGCATCTCTCTCTCTCTTCCCCCCCCCTTTGCATTCCAGTCATTCTTTTTCTGCCCGTAAACTGTTACTACTCCGCAAGAGCCCGATTCTGCACAGCCTACTCAGCCTGTTTTTTTTTGTTGGATGCAGGAAGAAATCCTGTCAGATGGGGTCTTCAGTGTACATTCATGAAACAGAGCAAAGACCTCTCTCAGAATGTGCACTGGAACAGCAAATAGTTACTTTTCAGCTGTGGATTACATGTGCCTCTGAAAAGGGGACCACAAATCATTGAGTTTTTAAAGGTTCCGCATGAGTTGTATATTAATCCCAATTTCCCTAGGGATGGATTAATCCCAGCTTCCCAGTTGTGTGGCTACAGACAATGTTGATGGGGTTGGGGGCAGGGGAGAAGGGAGATGGGGAAAGGAGAGGGAAATTAAAAAGATATATCACAGGAATACATGTCCTAAGTGGCGAGGAGCCATAAGTACTTAAGTTTCAATACCTCTTCTACCTCTGTCGCCACATGTGAGCTGAAGCAAATCACTTCAGCTCCCTGTTTTGGTTTCTTCATCTGTAAATTGGGGATAATGCTTCTGCTTTTGCTCCCAAGAGGCCTGGCACGCTTGTGTAGAAACTCCTGCTCAGCCCTTAGTAGTGAAAGGAGATATTCCAATTCGTACCTGGGCAGCTGGAAGCAGTGGCTGATCTGGGAGATCTAATGGAGTGTGCAAGACAAATTTATATTCACGTGTAATTCTTTTTCAGCCCTGGCAGTTTTGTTGAGAGATGGAGTCCTAGAGCCCAGCATGCATTTCTTCTCTACATTCCTATCCAATGACTAAACAGGAGGAATAGCATGGGCCAAATTCATCCCTGGTGGGACTCCAATGACATCAGTCATCTTTATAGGAGTTTTTTGAATGAAGTCAATTGGGTTTTACGAGGACCGAGTTCGGCCACATGCATATTTAACTGCTCAGAGAGCTGCAGCACTGAAGGAAGCTTTCCTTGCCTTAGAAAGAATCGCTTCTGAGTCTGGGAGACACAAGCTAAGCCATTGACCTGTTTTACACAGTCAAGTTTACCTTATTTAAACTCAAGGAGCAACCGAAGCGTGCTCAGCATCCAGCAGAACTTAAAAAAACACCACCACCACAGCTGCCCCAAAATGTTCATAGCTTTCGATGAAACTTTGTATTTGTCCACACCTCTCGGTGCAGCACCGTG